ACATTTATCATTTGGGATGGGTTAAAAGTTGAATTGACATTAAAAAAAAAATTAAAAAAACTGCATTTCGCGCTTCAAAGATGGTACAGTATGTACAGTCATGTAACTATACTTCATATTCATGTACATGTAGCTTTAAACATAAATGTAGATTGAAAGCCATAGCGTGCCCAATTATTATTTCAAGCAGATTTATGACCCCCCCCCCCCCCCCAGCCTCTCCCATGACTAAGTAATCTATTTAACAAAACTGATTCAAAATAATTTATTTTCTACTAGAATCCATAATGTATGGAAAAGTTGTTCCAATTATATTCGTAACCGACTTCAAAAAACTGCAGCTGAAACATTGTTCCGCATGATAGCAAAGGCACCTGCAGGCTTATTGGAGGGGGGAATAATATCGTGAATACATAGGACTTTGAGCTTCATACTACATCATTTGCACAGCTGTTCAAAAATCCACATGTTCCAGCATTGGCAAACAACACAACCATACGCATATAATAACAGAAAATACGAATCCGAGATATCAACGCATTCAATCTCATGTCAAATTATAATACTGTATGATATGGGATAGTACTATATAGTGCGGGATAGTATAGTGTAGTAAGTATAATGTCCAACCATAAGTGTCTTCAGCTACCCATTTAAGGAAAATTATAAGTTATTTTATCGAAGACATATTCCAGCCAGATACACTTTAGAGGCAGATATTTACAAACAAGTGGCAAATGGTAAATTAGTTATTACATTACTATTTAAATGTGTTTTTTTAAAGTTTGGAGGGTCAAAGTTTGAGATGATTTTTTTTTCATTTGGGGGAGTTGGAAAATCTAAAATTACAGATTTCGAAATGTCACTCTGATTTACTATTGGACAACTCTCCCAATTTGCTTCTTTTTGTGAGCAACAGTTTTTTCAATGGAAGATGTAACGTATTTGTACAGCTCCAGGAATAATATTAGAGAAAAGGAATTTCATGATTTGTTTCCTATACCACAAATTATTGTGTCTTACAGCGTCACAGTCTAACGACCACACAGATGACCAATATTCAATTTCAGATTCACACATACTGAGTGATGTCATCAGCTATCTTTCTAATTGTTTGTCTAATTATTTCACAGGTTAAAAAACGTGTCTCTCCTTTTATTACCTTATGTTATTCACACATTCTAATCTTTGGATTGCCGTATGAAGGCCTCCAGCAATTTCTTTCATTTAAAATCGTGAGTTAAAGTTTCAAAATTAATTTTTGTTTCATTTTTCACCAAACAGGATTAGAAAATAATATGAAATATTTTCAAGGTATGACATTATTTTATCAAGTCTTTGGAAAGACGTCGAAATTAATTATATTAAATGGTAAGTTAAACATGGTGAAATGTGAGGCTTATTAAACAGCTTAGCTTAGAGGTTATACATATAGGTTCCCCTAAATAAAAAATAATATTTGATATATTGGTTTGCAATGGTGAAGGACGTAACAATAATAATAGAAAGCCTTAAAGCCTTAAAACATACGATAATATACAAAGTGAAACGAGTAAAAAAAAAAAAGCAAAAACAACAAACAAATTAATTGGATACCAAAGTGAATGTCACGCTCGCCACTTTAAAATATTTCGGTCACCCGAGCGAGGCAGTAGACATGAACAATCATGGCAATGTAAATAATAAGTAGGCCTTAGCCTAGACACAATATACCATTTGTAATATGCCGAAACGATTGTATTATTTTACCCTCTTGTTTCCTCTTTCCGTTTCTTTCTCCGCCTGATGTACCCCTCCCCTACTCTGTGATTCCATGTTGGGACCTTATAACACCTAGTCACATATCTATGCGCCTACAATTATGTTTCAGATGTGCTGAGCTTTTTAATCAATTAGATAATATGGTTATTTCCATGTTGACTGTTGTACACAATAATATTGTAAGGGGGAAAACAATATTCAGCAGTTGTGTGTAGTGGGATCGAAACCAAAGACTCGGCAGAAGAGTGAAACCTACCTGGCATTGCAATGATCCTACTCGTAGCGATAAATATTACGGTGAAATTACATGTATATATGATATGTTAACCATAATAGTCAATACTTGTTGGTACTTTAAGTTATCATTACCAGAATAATGTAGGACCTTATATAACTCGCCAGCAAGCATTAAAAAAAAAATAGCTTGTATCCTGACATCTCTTTCGAGAGGCGTATTTCTTCACTGTTTGTGTTGTTTTTTAACATTAATTCTCTTCTCATTTGTATTTCGTTTCTCACACAGAGTATGATAGGGTATATTATAAAATGATAAAGTAGATAATAATTTAGTGTAATGTGAGAGAAGCAAGAGTATGATACGATTCCTCGTGGGTTTTTTTGAGTGGATTAAATATGCTTCCCTGCATGCCTTGCTCTGATTACATAACCATATATGTATATCATGCAAGGGCCCTATAACATAAGAGATATGATCGATTTATTCCTTCTTAGATTAATCGTATCCCCTTTAATCAAATGAAACTTTACATTAAATAATAACTTACGATTATCAATGATTGTAAGATGCAACTGATTGCAGCAACATCGAGGAAAATAGATCTTTACAATTAAATGTAAGTCGATGTTTATATTACATGCCCCATTATTGTATCTCAAAGTTGTATGTGTTGGATTTTATTTTAGTTTTTTCTCCATGATATTTTACTCTTTTTCAATCAACACGGGCTCAAACAATGACGACACAGTGTGAGCTTTAGATTCAGGAAAATATTTGGGGAAAAATGGGAAATTTATCAAACTAAAAACCGTAAAGACCTCGACACTAATCTGATTTACGCAAATTTACGCGATTTACGCGAGTTATCATCGATAATCTCCATGCGTGTTCCAAATCATTGGACATTTGGCTTGTCATAGGCCTACTCGTCACTAGGCACGCTTCGTAGTCAAAACACTGCTTCTGCAGATCTGAGACTTCTCATGATTTTTCGTTTTTATTAAATTAGATGCCGATTTTCACATATCTGGCGTTCTCAAAGTACTACATTCGCCATCTGTGTTGTTTTGTGAGCAATTGATATGAATAGTAATCATAAAAGGTACGTGTCTTTAACAAATAGGCTGCTTGAGTCGACGTTACATTTACAATGATTGATGGTAGGTAGGTGGCTAGTATATGCTGAAATATCATTGCTTAATACGTGCATGACATTTTCCTTACGGACAGCTGATTCCTACATTCCTCCCCCTACTCCCCCAAAACTTTTAAAAGCGCATCAGATTTTTGGGATGCCTTTTCCGGAACAAAGGGAAACACTCTGACATGTAAAACAAAAACAAACACAAAAGTGGGGGGGGGTATCAGAGTGCTATAACACTATATATAATTTGCTGATGTTCCAGAATTTATGCGTAGATTTGGGTAGTGATATTTCATTGATATTCGTTGTAATCAATGATGTACATTTATTTGGATTGCTTTATCCTAAATATGTATTAGTGGATATATGAATCTGAAAATTCTTTGATAAAACCACTGCCGCCTCCCCCCCCCCCCCTAAAAAAAACTTCAGGTCTGACAAACAATAAAAGGTTTAATCAGATTTCGGGGTGCCTTTGTTAATCTAAATTAGCCACAGAGGGGGTACATTTAAAAGGCGGCTGACCTACGTCGAATGGCACAATGATGTACCAGATTTTGCCGGGAGGCACGTGATCCGCCACTGCATGCACCTTTTCATAATTTTCTTTGCAGGAGTGAATGACCGAGGTCAAAGCCGAAGCCAAATACAGTCAGAACTCAAAGAGTGCACATCATCGGAATATAATTAGAGCGATGGGACGACCATCTGCTTCTGGTCTGTATACAGACGGGATGAACGCACGAAACCACGAAAACACCATATTCATGAATGAATGATTTCTTTCAAAATCAGTTCGGGCTATTCCTTTCCCGCGGCCCAACTAGTTTGGGCATATATCACACAGATTATGAACAACATGTGCCATACGTATTGTTTGATGAGTAGACCTCATTCTGATCGTTTTATATGTTTTACCTTTGAGTGCGTGCGCATGTGCGCGCTCACCCCACAAATTCACCTAATGAAATTTCTGACGTCATCGAAATATTATTTGACAAATAATTAGTACTGGTTGCATAAGACTAATAAACGGAAGTTTGGTGTGATATGCATTATTATTATTTAATTGTGTTTGTTAACGCTCAGTCTAAGTGCACTGCTAATCTCGTTTCATTTTTCGTCACTTCGCACGAGTGACAGTCAAAATCCAATAAGTACCAGAGGAGGAAGTGTAAGGCTTGCGTTAAACATCATGTGCATTAAAATATTTCTATTGGAATAGGACTTGTTTAAGTTAATCCTACATATTAAAATATATTCTCAGTTTATAAGTTTGTATTTCATGGATAGCTTAAAGCGAGGAGGTTTGTCTATGCACCTGGATTTAAGTAACCTGAGCTGAATGATGCAAGCGATTTCTTATCCTCCGCTACCAACAAAGGGTCTCGTCGTCAAGACCATGGATGTGACCCTCAAGTTAACCCTTGTAACTTGACATACCGGATTATAATACTGCAGGGGTTCATGTACATGTAGTGAGAAACCCGTTTTCGTTACGAGACCTATCATCATGAGTCATGACTGTCGTGCATACCGGCATCTAATGCACAAGCCGTCATTCTTTATTACTGCCCTGTTATACTGTATTCACAATAAATATATTTTGTTTAAAAAAATGTATTTAAATAAATTTGTAAAGGTCTTCCATCATATACCAGGTACTGTCCATACCGTGCGAACATATATATTTTCATGAACAATCGCATACATGTAGATTGTGTAGATTGTTTAATTTAAACATGCCCTTATAACTCATTTGTTCGAAGCGGCTTTCCAGTAGATTTAGATTTACTTTCACACAAGTGTAGTTGTTCATTTTTTGTGTATTTTTGTGTACCGGTACTTATAGTTTTTCTTCTCTATGCGCCTCGAACACATTAGTCATGTGGAGTTGGCGCATTACAAATACGCTATATTATGTAGCTTTAGCGCTGGAAATACTGTTTGTTTCATGCATTTATACTTTGTTTGATAACCATAAAATATAGGTTATCGTTTTTCCTGAAATATATTTTTCATACCTTAAAAATTAATTAAAACGAATGAATTTAAGTTACTGGAACACTGCCAAACGCTAATCAAATTGGCAGCATCTATGACCTGCATATTTTTTTTAAATGGTGGACTGCATGGATGGATTATATTTTCGTTGATATGCAGGCATTGTAACAGATGTAGAATCTTCTGCCAAGGTATGTTGTTGCATTTCGAAATAGAAACCTAGCTAATGCTATCTTACACAAGAAAAGAAACTGCATTTACTAAATGTCGCGCGTGAACGCAATATGCCTGGTAAACAAAATGGCAGAATTCTGAATTCAATTGACCTATACGCTACGACTTACATACCGTATCCTCTCTTATCTTTCTCATGCGAAATATTCTTTTTTTTTGCGAACCTTGTAGCAATCTCGGTACCACCAATATCATCGTGCACATATCTATTGAGATTTTGTTGAATCAAGTTTGTTTCTGCTCTCATTTATAATTGAAATAACAGTCTTATATTGAGTAGCCACGTTTGCTGATCTTGTCATTATTTGAGTCGTGTGTTGCTGACTGTGATATGTCTCCATTGATAAAGTTACGTTATTTCAAAGCCAGTTCAAACAAATGCATTCCTATCATGTTTGCGAAATGTGATCATACACGTCTGGTACTACCAGTATATTTAAAATTCAACCATTATATTGTTATACTTTATAAATCCACTGCAACCGATACAGTTGTAGCATGGCATGTACTGTAAGTCTAATCATGACATTCATGCAACTCGTTTGTCTCATTCCCTTATAATTATACTCTTCTATAGCTAAAAAAAAAAGTACCTAGAGAGGCACCAACAAAATAATGGTGAAATATGTTTGGGTCTCATGCAATACGTATATCTTCCATTGCCACTGGACATACGTTTCTGCATTCCTAACAATGTTTATGTGAATAGCGATTTGGTAATTTGGATTTGATTTGACTGGTTTAATTGTTATGGTTTGACTAATAAAGTTTACATTTAAAGCATAAGAAATGTCAACACTGAAATACAAATATAAGCCCATACCTTTACAGAATAACCAATGAAAGCTGACAACCCTAAAAAGAAAAGTGTGGTAGTTTCACATCATTTAAAGATTATATAAAATGCAAGACTTCTTTTGATGTTATAGACAGCAAGGAATTTTTTTTGTACATGTTTAGTTACTATTTACATACTTATCAATGCTTATCAATATTGGAATGTGACTATTGTATGTTTTTAAAGAGAATTCCAAGATTGTATGTCATTAAAATAAAAATATGAAAATATGAAAATATGGCTTTTCACTTGTATCATGTTTATTATTGGCGAATCCAGGGAGAGAATAGCTGCCCCCTAAATTGCTCCCAAAACGAGTGAAAGAAGAATTGAGAGGAAATAAACAAAAGAGAATAAAAATGGAAGGAGAGATACAAAAAGAAGAAGGAATAACAATAATAGCGTAGCTAATATGGTCTTTAGTATATATGCCCCAGTGTAATTAACTGTACAATATGTTAAATAAAACGAGCCCCCAATTTCCACCGTAAACGTGTTCAGACTTCTGCAAACCAAAAAAAAACTCTATAGATTTTTACTGGATGCCTTTTGTAGATAGTTCTAGATTCAAAATCATCGTGCAGGAAAATAAAGAGGTACAAGATTATTAGCATTATCGTGGTCGCAAAGAAAACGAAAGCAAAAAGTTGGAGTGAAGTGGATATTTCACCTGGCTCTATACGTTTCAAGTGATGTTTACTCAACGACCTTGTCACAAAAACTAAGTTCCGAAACTTAAAGCAAAAAATTGTTGTTTTTTACAAATCAAAGTCTGACGAGTGCAGGATACGGTTACCAGTGGCGGATCCAGGGGGCCCGGCCCCCTCCCCCCTGGGAAAAAAACGTGTAAAAACACGTTAATTTTTTTTTTTTTTTAGTTGCCCCCCCCCCCCCCCTCATGGGGGGTGGGTGCGATTTTTCAAATTTTCGAGGGCAAAAAAAATAGTGCTCACTACCCCCCCCCCCCCCCCCCCCGACATCGGTTTATGTTTCTCATCTCTATGAGCGAGATATTGGCCGGCACGATTTTCAAATTTCAGCACACTATATTTCAAACTGATTTCAAATTTGGGCCCCCTCCCCTAAGAAATCCTGGATCCGCGCCTGACGGTTACGGTCGGAGTGTATTAAACATTCAGAAACTTCAGGCCAACGATACCCAAAGGTCCTCGCCGCTGACAATGCAAATTAGTACTGTAAATTTCTGTAGTTTTAATAGGAATATGAAAGAAAAAATTCGAATAAAGGAAATATTGAGAGAAAAACAAGTCTGTACCTTGTAAAAAGGACACACCCATGTTTGTTTTCCCTTTTGAAATGAACGCATTGCTGAATTGATTAGAAAGAATCCGTAACCAAGCCGTCGTCCATTAATATGAATAGGGACTTTTAGATTTGCACGTCGACAGCTTTGACTGCAACGTGTGACGTCATTTTAAGGCAGTGCGCATGCGTCACGTCGTCTCAGTCGGCGATCGAGAATGCGTCAACCTTGATTTTCCTAAATCTAGTACGGTACTAAATATATATGCCGCGTGCGCATAAAATATACAGTTCATCAGGTAGACAAAGGAACATCCCTTCCCTGCTATTATGTAAAAATGTGTAGAACAGGTGTCACATGCAAATTCACCTGTTCTACACATTTTTACTTAATAGCAGTGAGGGGATGTTCTTTTGTCTACCATAGCAATTGTTGAGGGTAGAATGAGGAACTGTATATTTTTCCTTTTTCTTTGTCCGTCATATTCATAGCGTTACTTCCTGCATGCATGTATATCATCGAGTGTAATCTAAAAGATTTCTAATTGTAGTCAACATGGGCAGTTGAGTACGTTGACACGCATGATCAGTCGGCGTTCGTCGTGTTCTCGTCCACTCAATCTAAAAGTCCCTATTGAAGCTCATTTAGCCCCTTCTTCAAAAATAATAAAATTTGAACGCTGTAAAAACAAGTTTATGACTGAGAACTAAATGAACAGTAGGACAACCGAATCGCTTGAATATAAGAGAGAGACAGGAAGAGAAAGAAAAGGGATTAGTTTTGAAAGCTAAATTTGAAAATTTCACCCGGATAATATATTAAAGGAAATTCTGTTTGTCATGGATGTGGTATAAAAGCAAGAGTACATTAAATAAACAGAGGAAATGACTTGATTTATTCCAGTAGGGGCATTCTATCTTGATTTCGGAAAATGTAGGGGAGGCCGAGAGGGGGAATGCATCCGCCTGCATTGATCCCTGGTTCCGCCCCTGTTCAATGCTCTTATAGTATATACTTTAACTATCATGCCATAGTATAGCGAAACTGAACCCTACTTCTAAACACTTACATGCTTAAAGGTATAAACCAGAGTTGGAAACGCCCCCCTCTCAAAAAATGAAATGGAAGCTCTTGTTAACAATCATGTGAAAGAATATGTTTTGACTAATACGTGATGATACAAATTTTGCCGGGAAACCGCCTACTGATTGACATATTTGGTAAATTATTATATCTATCCGGACCGGATAGATATCCCACACGTGTCGCGTAGTCCCATACATCTTTCTGTGTACAGTGTTTGTAATTTTACCAAGACTGGGCCAAATTTCTTATCATTTTGATGATTCCAGAACCTTGCAGTACACACCAATATTTATATGCTAGATGATCAACCTTTTCTGATCGATTCCACAACGTTTCTTTCACAATGCAATCGAATGACCAGAACTGGTCTACAAGGGTGTCGATTTGAATCCGTGGTTGGGGGGGGGTGATAGGTGCCAAAATATTGTCGGCAATGGGTCAAAGCAACCAAGAGGTAGAAGCTTGTGGCAGGTTGCACCCCCTCCCCATGCGCGTAGCCAGGATTTCATTTTAGGGGGCGGTAGTGAGCACGTAAAACGTGCGAATCACTAACAGCTACTTACAGACCTAGAGGGCTGGGTGCAAGGAGGGGAGAGTTTTCCCCCTCCCCGCGAAGCGCGGAAGCTTTGACGTTTCATTAAATTATTAGAGAAAGAAGACGATTCGATGTACCATCCTCGACTCTTAATCCTTAAAGTTTAAATCAAGTTCCCCTTTCTCCGCGCGTAGCGCGGAAGCTCTGACGTTCCATTAGATTACTAAAGAAAGAAGACGATTCGATGTACCATCCTCGACTCTTAATCCTTAAAGTTTGAATCAAGTTCCCCCCCCCCCCCCCTCCTCCGCGCGTAGCGCGGAAGCTCTGACGTTTCATTAGATTATTAAAGAAAGAAGATGATTCGATGTACCATTCTCGACTCTTAATCCTTGTCTAAATTCAGTTTCCCCCCTTCCGCGCAAAGCGCGGAAGCTTTGACGTTTCAATAAATTATTACTCTTAGTCCTTATCTATATTCCTTTTCGCCCATCCAGCGCTGAGCGCGGAAGCTTTACCGTTTCATTAAATTATTAGAGAAGGAAGACGATTCGTTGTATCGTGTCCTTGTCTGAATTAAGTTTCCCCCCTCCTGCGCGAAGCGCGGAGATTGATTTTTAATTCACGTCTGAAATCATTTTCGCCCATTCCGCGCGTAGCGCGGAAGCTTTCACATTTCATTAAATTATTAGGAAAATAAGAGAATTCAGTTTCCCCACATGATGTACGTATGGAACGTTCGTTCGCAAATCTTTGCATGCACAGCCCGAGTGGTGGGTAGCATGTTATCTCCCGGCAGTGCTCGTCGCAATAGCTTCTGGAAAGGAATTGTATATTACTATTTATAAATCACTTGTATGAAATTGAAAATAAGTCATGGTTAGATTTTATGGGGGGGGGCTAGCGCCCCAAGCCCTCCCCAACAGTACGCCAGTGACGTAGGCCTACATCGGATTTTCAATGAAACAAAAATAAGTTGTGACATAATAATCTTTCTCCAAAAATGAAAAATGTTTTAGGAAATATCAGGAAATAAAATGAGTGAAAAAACACAAATAAAGATACAATGACGTGAATTTTAAAAAGGGTGAATGGAAACAACATTACAACTAGTGAACTATCTTATAAGTCACACTAATGTCCGAAAATCTTTCTCCTTGTCTCCGATCTCATCACGAATTCGGCACAGAGTTCATCTACGTTTACACTGTCCAGGATTATCTGATGTGCATTGCAGATTGCTACTTTTGCGCTTCGCGCTTAACATTTAGCTCGTTGCTTTTTAACGCTGCGTCTTTGCATATGGCGCACTGCATTTCAATGATGCTGTTGATTGAACAAATTGAATAAATTTATTAATTCCTGATGAAGCTGTATGAGTGAGAATTCAATTTATTCTTGTCTCATATACGGTTGTCTCATTTACTTCGTATATATGTATGTATTATGAAAATGAGATAGCAAAATGTGAATATTGATGGTCTTCTTGCGAGTAATAAACATTAACTTTTTCTTTTATTTTTAATTTTTTTTAGGGTGAATTATTAGGGGGATGATTGTACAGGCCATCCCCTCCCCCCACCTGAAATATTGGGGGGGGGATATATCCCCCCACCCCCCCCCCCCCCGGGGATTGACACCCATGCTGGTCTATATCTTTAACCATTGTTCATAATATCTTCTTCTTTTTTTTTTACTTTTGCTTCACTTAGAAACTTAAAGACATCTCTACGAACTGCGTAGCTGTGCCGACACACTCCAGGCACTATGATCATAAACAATCAGATTGCAAATTTGTACCGACGGAGCTTTGACAATGTGTTTTCGAGTGAAGATGTTCAGGTAAAATAAAACGTATACTAACATGTATCAATATTCCATTGATTTACTTGGCCCATATAATTGGTACATTATAATACACGTATATAATTGTGACTGCATTTGAGGTTGAAGAAAATAAACAATAGAAAAAGGGAGCATTTTTAACATGTATTCTTGCATCAGTTGCTCCGTTCATTTCACTCTATATTTTCACGTGAATGAAACAATTCTCCTCTCAAGGCAGTAACATTTGATATGTTAAGACTTTCTGACGTTTTCTAGAAATCCAGACTCTGAGAACTAAATTAACATTTCTTGTCATAAATATCTAGATAAATTAAATATCCAACAGCTTGACATAAATCATCATATCATTCGCTATCAACACTATATTATATCTAGAAAGTGACTGGATATAATGGACTTATACATACACTTTGGCCTGGGGCTGACCTACATATAGTGCGACCTTGTCATTCACCTTGACATATATTACAACTTCACTCTTCAATAAACAATACATGAATCTTCTGTATATATTCAAATCATGATTTTCAACCAACTACTATAAATCTACCTCTTAAACATGACAATTTCATGTGCAATAATCATCATCTTCAAATGTTATGGCATACAACATATGTTATCTTTTAACTTGAACTTATTTCACATAGGGTTAGGCCTATACAAACAAAAATGTTGTATTTCCCTTTAGGTGCCAAAACATGGGTCGGTCGGTCGGAAATCTTTTTTTTTTTCTCTCTCTCTTTTTTTTTTTCTCCCTCTTTGGGCTGATATTTGGCAGTTTTTAATGCTTTCAATTTTTTTTATCTAAAAAAGGGTTTTAAAAAAATTATTTAAAAAGCCGTCCGTAGATTTCAAGATTTTTGGGTCGGTCGCAAAGGGCAATACACCATATTTTGTTTAGGCCTTATAGCTATGGCCTATACATGTTAAGCTCATACAAGAATGGAAGCGTACAATGTATGGTATATGGAGCCAGTGGCGTACGCAGGATTTTTTCAAGGGGGGGGGGGGGGTTAACTTTTTTTAATTTTTCAATCGGGCCGAAAATTTCGCAACGCCTCAGCCAGCCGCTGAATAAGCGGGGGGAGGGGGGGGGGGGTAAGAGCACATTTTTTTTTTTTTTTTTGGTCCCAACAATTTCGCAACGACTCAGCCATCCGCTGAATAAGCGGGGGGGGGGGGGGGTAAGAGCACATTTTGTGCGTGTGTGTGTCCTAAAATTTGAACATTTGGGGGCGATCGATATTTCGTTTCGTTGAGGGGGGGGGGGGTAAGGTCAGCTTTTTAGGGTCACCCTTTTATACCACAATTTTTCATTTATTTTTTATTTTCATTATTATTATTTTTTTAATATATAGGTTTTCCCGGCCAATTTCGTAAAAGCAGCAATCAATTTCAGTAACTTGCATTCATGTTCGAGCAAATTTTCTCCACTCGTTCCTCCCCTGTTTCATTTTTAAACTTGTTGCATTCAATTTCGTTTCGAGTCACCGAATTTTCTAAACATGCACATTCAAATTAAAGCTTGGTTCTGTCAATTTGGAAATGCGTAAGGGTCATTCAATTTCGCCAATGTTGAGTGGGAGGTGAATTCTTTGGCGAATTGCGATTTCATTTTCGTTTATGGGCAACCTCTTTCGCAATCGGGTCATTCAAATTAAAACTAGACCTCATAATCATAGTATGAGACTCGATGTTCATTTGGATATTCAGTATTTCATGTTCAGTTATTTATTCTTTTTCTCTATGATCTTTTCTGACATGATTTCACATTATATAATCTTCTTACTTGTCTGATATATTTATATTGCATTTTATGTTTTCTCTGTCTTTCGACATTCTTTATTTTTGTTGAAACATCTCTTTATTTATACCTTCATATTTTTCATTATAAATGCCTTAGGGGTTATTTTTAAATGGTTTGTTTTGATCACTCTTGATTGAGTAAGTGATCTTTCTTTCTTTTCATTTAACATCTTTTTCTTTATTCATTATTGTATTTTGTTCCCATTATGTCCATGTATATTAATCCTGAACTCTACCTCTGTCCAAGATCTGTTTATTTATAGCTTGTGATTAGAAGAGAAGTCACATATTGTGCACCTTCTCCCGGGACAGTTACCTGTGTAATGACAGAACGAATACGCATGTCATTCCTCCAAGTAAACTTTGCATGAAAGTATTCAAACAGAAGTATATTAAGTGATAAATTAACATCAAATGAAAAGCAATGCACAAATGTCACATATGTATGCCTAATCACGAAATTAAATGCACGAAGACATACCACCGTCTGTCCGGCGCGAATTTGAATGCTCTTTGCACGCTATTCTAAATTGAGTGCTCGTTTTGCACGTCTCCGTGACAAGAGTATGAAATCGCTTGCTACTAAATCAAATTGAATGACGCATTTAGCTTTTTGAATGTTGATCTACATAGGCGCCGGAAGTGGGAGGGGGGGGGGGGACAAAACGCATTTTGCCCCCAAAAAAGTTAAGGAGAAAAGAACATAACAATAATAAAAACCTGAATTAAATCATATATAAAATTCCATTAAAAGAAAAGGAAAGTTTACAGGAATTAAATTTCCTAAACATTGCGCATGCCTCCTATATCAATGGAGATTTTTTTTTTATAAAAGCTTGTCTGTTTTTTGTTAAAGGATGAGAAGACATGAGCCCCTGAACGCTGGCGTACTGATGGCGGGGGGGGGGGTCATTTCTCATTCGATACCTGTAATTTACAAATGTTGCTGAAATGACATGATTTTCCGGTATTTTTTCTCAATTTTTTTGTAAGTCATACCTTTGTTGGAAAATTAAAAATTCCCAAATTTACAGTCGGGCGAAAAATATGCTTATTTAGAAGCCTTTATGTCATGGTCGGCAAAATGGCAGGACTCGGGGGCTCGAGCCCCCCCCCCCCCCCCCTCACATTTTGAAGAAGTATGTTACAGAGAAGAAAAAAAGAAAGAGAGAGAAAAAAAAAATGAGGTAGTCACAAAATGAGGTATTAAAATATGACCGTAATTAAATGCCTAAAACCCCAGAGCTTACGGGGGTTCCGCCCCCAGACCCCACCAACGCCGTAGGGCGGTCCCCTGTATGCTCATTTGACCGTAATTCAATACCTAAAAACCCCAGGCTTCCACGGGCAGTGCCCCCTGGACCCCACCAAGGGCCCTAAGGCGGGCCCCTGGGTGCTCATTTGACCGTGATTAAATACCTAAAATGCCCTGAGCTTTCGGGGGCCCGCCCCCTGGACCCCACCAATGGCCCTAAGGCGGGCCCCTGGATGATCATTTGACCGTAATTAAATACCCAAAACCCCTGAGCTTCCTGGGGCTCTGCCCCCGGACCACGCCAATTTACGCTCTACCTGATCGTTAATATACTCCACTTTGAAAAACGTTCCGCGGGGCCTGCATGTATAACGTGTAAGAGCGGTGGTGATGCAGATTTTTCTCCTGCCCCCCCCCCTCCAAACATTTTTGCTCATTACGTCACTGCCCCTGGAAGGTGAGCAGGCACGTAGCCACGGGGGGGGGGCATGGGGGGGCACGTGCCCCCTAAATTTCCAAGATCGGTTGAATTTTTGTAGACCCCTTTTTTTTACCTCGATCGATTACATGTATGTGCCCCCCCCCCCCCAAACATCAAACTCTGGCTACGTGCCTGAAGGTGAGCCCCCTGGAATGTTTGCCCCCCCCCCCCCTCCATCCCAAACTGCTTCCGGCGCGCCTGTACATAGTCATTAATTTCGCACGAACTTGAATGAACGTAACATTAATTCGGATGCTAAGTTTACGAAGTTGGGCGGGAAAACCTAAACCTTGAAGGGGGTTTCCTCCAAAACACACACATAAAAGAGAAAAAGGGGGGTTCAACCCCCAACCCCCCCCCCCCCCCTGAGCCATTGTCATGTAATCTACACTTGCTGCAGTAAGATCCAAATCGAACCTATTAATTTGCACCATTAGCATGCATTATTTTGTAACATACATCATTCATGTAATAAACTAACATCTCTGCACTAAATTGAAGTACTAGGTTCGGGTTCCAGGATGCCCTGTATTTGAGGAAATTATGAACTTAATTCAGTCCCATGTTTTCATTGTCTGCCCCTAGCCCCCATAATGTACAGTCGTGATTCAGTGGCAAAGCAATGGCATCATAACTGCGAGGCCGTAGGATCAAAACCATGTCGATGTGCTAAATTAGTGCCCTTTTGTGAGGCATTAATCCTCATTAATGTCAGTTATGACTTTAGGACGTAGGTTCCCTAGTTGATAAGCATAGTTTCACACACATGCTTTTGCAGTCACGCAAAACAAACACTCGAAAATTATTATTCAATAAAATCTGAGAATGTGTACTATTATCATTATCTATTAGGAATAAATCATTAACAAAATCATTCCATAAATTGGGGTAAAAAAAAATAATTCCACCTTTATGACAAACAGTGTATATAAAAAAGCAACTTGAGTAGACAAGTACGGTCGCGCACACTGCAGAACCCAAGTCTGACTCGTGTGCGCACGGACGTTTTTATATTTTTATTTATTTCTTCCTACCACTAACTAACTGGATGTCGTATTAACGCGTTTTGAGGTGGATTTATACCTTCTGGCTGTACATATTTTTGTTTTCCTTGTAGATGATTGGTTTCCTTTAATTCCTTCATGAGGCAATCAATATTTTACTTTCAATTCTTCTTAAAATACCATGGTAAATTATATACAGAAATCGTTACCTACATGGATAACAAAGCTTTATATATGCCTTATTTCCCCCACAGACTGCATTCCTGTTTGCTTTATATCTTTTACACCTGGAGCATTTGGACTCTGACTTCGACAACTGTAAAATGCATAAGTAAGATTTTTTTGTATTTTTGGAAATGTTATGACAAATCTATTGAATAGGGACTTTTAGATTTGCATGTCGACATAGTGGACTGCTACGTCGACGTGCAAATCTAAAAGTCCCTAATGTACCATCAATATTATGAATAGAATCTTCAAACGTGTCTGTAAAATTACATGAAGAATAATGCAAAGCCTTTTAATTATACTTTCCCCTTGAGGGTATAGACCAGTTCTGGTCATGCGATTGCATTGTAAAAAACATTGTGGAATCGATCAGAAAAGGTTGATCATCGAGCATATACATGTACGTGTGTACTGCAAGGTTCTGAAATCATCAAAATGATAAGAAATTTGGCATAGTCTTGGTAAAATTACAAGCACTGTACACAGAAAGATGTATATAGGACTACGGGATATCTATCCAGGCCGGATAGATATGATAATTTACAAAATATATGAATTAGTAGGCGGTTTCCCGGCAAAATTTGTATCATCACGTATTAGTCAAAACATATTCTTTCATATGATTGGTAATAAGAGCTTCCATTTCAATTTTTGTGAGGGGGCGTTTCAAAAACTGGTCTATACCTTTAAGTAACAAGTTTAATCCTGCTAAATAGTTTGCAAGTATATTAGTGGTTAAGGCTATTTGCATTTGGGTCATTGCTTTCTATGAGTTTGGGTTTGGGGGAGTGCCAGTGAGAATATTTATGCCCTGTCGTTCCATACATTTATTTGTATCAACGTTGTTTGAAGATCGCATACTGTCTAAGCCTCGGTTACAAATACCATTACGAACCGCTACAAACGAACGATTTTCAGACCATTTCGTATGATCTTCATGAGAAGGCCGTACGAAACCAGCGTTTGTAGACTGTTCGTAGACCGTTCATTAGTTCGCAGACTGGGCGATGGTCTTATCCAAGATTTTTTTTCAACATCGTACAAAACCCTCTCTTTGTAAGGCGGCCGTACGAACGTCGTAATAACGTCGTAGGAACCACGCAAGATCTTCGTACATTTCGTAGGAGCCTTAGAATTCTTACGATGATCGTGAGAACGGCTTTAGTTGTTCATAGAGGGCTCTCACGGCGTTCGTGCGAATGCCTTACGAACGGAGATTTGAACGACTCCAGGTGTTTGTATAGCCTCGGTCACAAATGCCCTTTCGAACTGCTACGAACGCCGTACGAACGACTTTCAGACAATGAAAATTCGGGAAGACAATGGAAAAACAGGAAGATTCGTACGAACGCATCGTTCGTACAACCTTTGTGACCGTACTTTTACATCACGGGTGGCCAACCCGCGGCCCTCGAGCTCTTCTGGTGCGGCCTGCGGAGCTTTGAAAAATTAATAATAAAAAAAGCTCATAAGTGAAGTGCGGCCCGCATAGCAGCGATGAAATAAGGTAAAACATTTACACACAGCTATTTCCTTTCCGTAATTTGTTTTCATCAAGTACAACATATTGACTCGTCACTTGGTTGATACAAAACTCGTCAAATTCCCTCTCATTAAATTACATTAACATCACTCGCCGTGTTAATTTCAGTTTGTAATTTTCACACGCAGTAACGTTTGTAAATTATACATATGTTGTGAATCGAGAAATATGTTTAAAATGTATGTTTAAAATTCCCTTCCCTTTACACCGCGTTCAATGAGATGTTCAGTGTACAACTGATAAAGTTAGGATATTCTTTCTGCTCTATCCTTGATTTTGTTTGAAATAACAACCAACATGGTATCGAGACCTGGGAAGAAAAGGAAAATTTCTGATGAAGACAGAAACTTCAAATCAGATTGGTCTCTGAAGTATTTCTTAGTAGAAGAGAAAGGTAAATCACTTTGCCTCATTTGTCACCAGAGTGTGAATGTAATGAAGGTTAACAACATAGCAAGACATTATTACACGCTGTATCTAGCAAATTATGGAGAGTTACAGAGTGAGGCTAGAAAACAAAGACTTGACAAATTATTGACCGGTCTGACTTGCTGAAACTTGTCCATCAAATGCAGCCCTAGAAATCACACTAAAAAAGTAAGCCTGATTATTTTTCTCCACTGATGTTTTTGTTTGCTTGTTTGTTTTTGCAAAGTTGCAGGTGTGTACACGAATTGAGTGTGTGTGGGGGCGGGGGAGACTACCTACGACCCGCCAAGTTATGCCAATCGTTAGCTGTGGCCCGCGAGCTTTAAAAGGTTGGCTCCCACTTAGCCGAGTTGTATTAGCGAGTTATGGCGAATTGTGGTGAGTTGCCTCAAAGAGGCACTCGCAATAACTCGCGAACAATTCGGTATGGCTTAGCGTAACTCTTTACAACATTCCAAGACTCTCCTCGAAGTCGCGAGCGGTTCCAAAATTTGGAACATGTTAAAAAAAATTCCCCGATTCGTTGTTATTCGAGGTGAACTCGCCTACACTCGTAATATTCTCGCATTACTCGTGACAAGCTTGCGCTGCACTCTTCATAACTCTTAGCAACTAGCCACTTGATGAAGAGTGCAGCGCGAGCTTGTAACGAGTAATGCGAGTATATTACGAGTGTAAGTGAGTTCACCTCGAGTAACAACGAATTCACCTCGAGTAACAACGAATCAGTGAAAATTTTGGACATGTTCAAATTTTTCGCTGTTTCGTTGTAGCTCGAGGAGAACTTGCTTAACACTCGTAATATACTCGTGGCAACTCGCCACCTTATGAAGAGTGCAGCGCGAGCTTTATACAAGTAATGTGTGTATATTAACTTGAACTTGCTGTTAGCATATTTGTTACTTCCTTTATCATAAAAGCAGTCATGTTCACCGAAGAAGTCTACAAGTTTTTGCTCTGTGGTGGCATCGAAGTCATACTTTTCCTTTCTTAGTTTCCCCGTTACCTCATCTTCATCGCTATCAAACTGCCGTCTTGATGGTTCTCCCAGGCGCGAATCCAGGATGCCGAGTAGGCCTCTCCCCCTCCTCCCCCCCCCCCCCCCCCCCCGCAAAAAGAGAGAGAGAGGGAGAGAGAGAGAGAAATGAAAAGAAGGGGAAAAGGGGAAGGGGAAAAGGAGATAAAGGGAAAGAAAGAAAGGAACGAAGAAAAGAAAAAAAGGGGGACCGAAAGGGCCTTGCCTCCCAGTCTGTTGCCTTCCCCCCCCCCCCCCCATAAACAAAAAACAGAAGGAAGGAAAGGGAAAGAAAAAAGGAAAAGAGGAGATAAAGGGAAGGAAATAAGAGGAAGAATAAAAGAAAGGAAGGGGTTTAGTTTTCAATTTTCCCGCCAACAAGGTGTAGATCCGGTGGCTCTGCCCCCTGGACCCTGACTAAGGCCCTAAGGCAGCCCCTGAATGCTTATCTGACCGTAATGGAGGCTCCGACCCCTGGACCCCACGCAAAGTAGTGTCCTGCCAGTATCACAAATAAGGTATCAACATATGCTCATCTGACGGTAATTAAGTGCCAATAACCCTTTTGCTTCCGGGAGCTCCGCCCCCTGAACCGAACCAATGGCCCTAAGGCCGATCCTAGATGCTCATCTGACCGTAATTTATTGCCTAATACCCCTGAGCTCCTGGGGGCTCCGCCCCTGGACCCCACGCCAATTATTGTCCTGCCAGTGTCACAAATAAGTTATCAAAATATGCTCATCTGACCGTAATTAAATGCCAATAACCCCTGAGCTTCCGGGGGCTTCGCCCCTTGACCCCACAGTTTTGCTCGTTACACCACTGCTGGTCACCGTTACGTACCAATATTTTAATAGCATAATTTCAAAAGAAATCCTGGATCCGCGCTTGGGTTCTCCCTCCTCCTCGTCGTCATCTTCCACCGCCTCCTCCCGGACGCTTCCGATGGCCATCATTTCTTGATATTGTTGTTGCTGCTCTCCTCCTCTTTCTCCTCCCTCCTCATCTCTTTCCTTACGTTTGTTTCCCTTCCCTCTCTTCCCTCTAACAAATTTCCCTTTTGGTCCCATATTTCTTCGACAGGAGATGCACCCTCGACGAACACTATGAACAGAGTGAGGATTTGAACTTCGCGTGCTTGGCATTATAACCGCTAAAACCTAAAAATTGCATAAATTGTGTACATACACCTTACGAGCACCTTACGATCGCCGTAAGAGCCCTCTATGAACAACTCGAGGTGTTCTTACGGTCATCGTAATAATTTAAAGCTTTTAGAACTGTCCCTCGACCCTACAAAATGTATGAAGATCTTGCGTGGTTCTTACGATGTAATTAAGGCGTTCGTACGTCCGCATTACGAAGAGAGGGTTTCGTACGATGTTAAAACAAATCTTGGACAAGACCATCGATCAATCTGCGATCTTACGAACGGTCTACGAACAGTCTACGAACGCTGGTTTCGTACGGCCTTCTTCAGAAGATCTTACGAAATGGTCTGAAAATCGTTCGTACGGCGTTCGTAGCAGCCCGTAAGGGTATTTGTGACCGAGGCTTAACCTCTGTTATAAAGGACACATCACACCCACTTTTTTTCACATTTAAACGCTCAGGAATTCGCTGGGCGTACCAAGAACACGAAGAATCAGATTCAGAACTTCATTCAATTCAAATTGTGTCACATATACAATGCAAACAAAATAAGGAGGTCTCAGTTGTGAACAATACATGATGATTTTAAACTTTATTTAGATAGCCTTGTTTTACCTTTTACGGGTTGTATTCATTCTTGTTTTAGCATTAGCTTAATACCCCTCTTGCCATCACCACACGGTATCATGTTTACATTTATGTTTACATTGTATGTAACAACAATATGAAATACATTTATTTCGGCATTTTATACGGACAACAAAACTAAAGTCTTGAATTAACATTTTCATGTTGACTGTTCAATTTCATGAATACCAGTTTAACTTTATAACCGGACGCGTGTATATTGAGAGAGCTTGATATTATAAACGTTCATTTGTTCAGCTAAAACTCTATTCCTTTCAAAATCTGATGTAGAAGAAGAAAATCATGTAAACCAAACTCAGGTGTTTAAGTACGCAGTCATGGTAATCAACCTCCTTAGAATTTATTAGTCCTCCATATCCATTTTTTTTCTTTAGTTTTCATTTCTTTCATATTGGGCTTAATTCAGTTTACACGTATTCTGCATCTCGCACTGTTTGACACAAAAGTGTTTTTTTGTGTATTCCTGACACAGATATTACAGTGGATTGCGCAAAGAGCATCACACTCACATCCCCGAACTATCCTTCGCTTTACCCCAATGATGCATTTGAGGAGTGGTCCATCACAGCACCTCTTCAGAGGAGGATCCTCGTCACTTTTAATGACTTTAGCCTGGTATCTCCAAATGATTTTATTTACATTCAAAACAGGGATGATATAAAGCAATACACAGGCTTGAATAAGGAATTTTCTCCTTATCTGACGTCAGGACACACTCTTCATATTGAGTTCACCTCATCTCGAAGTGGCAGAAGGAAAGGATTCAATATTACAGTCTCCTGTACCGATCTTTCAAGTAAGTTCACTCATTAGGATCAAGATATGAAATAGCATTATGGAAATACTAATCTAGTTTGCACGCAATGATAACATGACCCTCTCTCCAGGTAATCTAATTAATGTACGTTATTTGCTTTTATTCTTCTGTCATTCGATACGTTGTAGCACGATTTGGTCATGATTGGTAAATTTCAGGTGACACGATCTGGTCTCCCGTTCATATATAATCCGATAGGATTGTCCCATTGAGTCCACGATAGGCTCTCGATGTGACACGATCATTACGATCATCCGATTCGGGACGATCGGGTAATAGCGGATACGTTTGGATACCTCCCGATACGTTCATCACGAACCGATGCGCTCTGTTGCGACATGATACGATTGTGGTCGCGATGTCTTTCACGATGAGGATCGAGAGTGATCACGATTCGAGCTGCGATTGTACCCCGACAGATTATATACAGGACTACTGACCGAGGAATTCATTGTTTCTTGAACTTTTACTGTGTGAACGCTACAACCCACAACCGTTGATGATGACAGGAGTTGAGGATGATGACAATGCGACATTTGCACTATTACTGTATGCTAACAATACATTATCGCCAGAGAAGAAGACGAGCAGCAGCCAGACCAGACACAGCCCCAACCACAGAGTGCCAGGAGACCTGCAGTTCTGGGTGCGACCATGGCTCACAGAGGAGAGAAGACAACATCTTGGCCATTTCTCCAGCCTCCTAGACGCCCAATAGAGGCTGGAAGATTCAGTAGCGTTCCAAAACTACACACGGTCAACACCACAGCTCTTCGATGAACTCTTGAATAGGGTGACCCCAGGAATCAAAAGAGAACTCACCAGTTTCCGACAACCCCTCTCACCAGGACTGAAATCGGACTGGAATCTCACCTTGCCACTGGAGACAACTATCGGTCCCTTGCGTATGCCTTCAGGTGTGGAGTGTCCAGCATCGCAGAGATGGGTCAAGACGTACGCTAGGCACGTGTGCAAGTGTACAAAGATGAGGTGAAACATCCCGCACGCAATAAGGGCCCAAGATGACTAACACATTGCTGTCAAGAAGCCACCCTACACTGGCAGCCTCTACTACAATTACAAGGGCTTCTCTTCGATACCACTCCTGGCTCTAGTAAATGCAGATTGCAAGTTTGTGTGGATCAAGGTTGATGGAAAAGGACACATGTCAGATGCTCAGATATGTGGCGACTCTGAGCTGTTCAACGGCCTGGAAGAGGAAGCCGTGGGACTCTCTCTACCCTGCCCTTTGTCTGCAAGCCCTGATGACCACCAAGGCATGCCCCTCTTCATCCTGAGAGACGACGCCTTCGCACTCACAACTACAGACTCCCAACGTGCCTCCTCAGGACTCTTGAGCAGAAGCCTAAAACTGTGAATGATTTGGTTGAGGCGGCAGTGGTTTTGCACAACCTACTGAGGCAGAGGCTGCAAAGGAGGCTACATGTCTGGCATCCATCGTCTCAATTTGAGGGATCAAAAAATAGAATATCTCCAACACAAACTTATCTTGGCTGTTCATGTCAGTAATGGCATTTCCTCCTGACCCACCCTTCTCGGTGTATTTCTTTAGCCGAACCATCATCGTCCTAATGCTTGTGTACCATATTTTAAGTTTAACCACAATAGTTTTTATCTTGGCAGCCTATGCAGCCCCTGAGATCCTCCTTCCGGGTGACATCCTTCAAGCATGCAGGGCGTTTGCTGTAGAGGACCTCATTTCTCATGAGGAACTGCTTTCCTATTATTGCTCGTCCGTAAAGGCAGTTACTGTTTTCTTTCTCTTGGCTTTCTGGGTGGGATCGTCTCCTCTGCCTCCTCTGGTGCCATCTCTGGCTGTAGTGGTTCAGGCTCAGAGGGTGAAACAATCTGACCATTTCCCTTCTGGTATCTGGCACCCTTGACTGGCATCTCGCCAATGCTCCGAACATTACTAGCAAAAGCAAGTTGACAGTAAAGATGTGCTCTTTCCAAGTGTAGATCACTGAATGAGGCGCATGTGTGTGTGTTTGGATTTTTGCAGACGTGTATCAATCAGATATGATTATTTACGTCTGGGGACAGACCTTTTAACTTCACCATCCGAAAGACGTGACTCAGCTTCGAGCCTGCGTCCTCGGCATTCAATCTTCAATTGTCCGGTATATATATATATATATGGGCGCGAGAACTCGTTGCAGATCGTTAACTTACGTGGAAAAGCGTGACTTCTCGTATTTAATCGCATTTACTAGCATCTGCTCGTCATCTACTCCCAATTTCCCACATATCTCCTCTCCAGCGCATCCAAAATTCAGCAGCTAGATTGATCACATTAAGTAGGAAATATGACCATGTATCACCTGTTCTTCGCTCACTTCATTGGCTCCCGGTCCGTTCTCGCATTACTTTCAAAATCCTACTTCTTTCATACAAAACTAGAAATATCGCAATCTGTATTGTCGCGCAATGCGAATGTATCCCCCGGCAGTGGCAGCAATTTTGTGTCATACTTATGTTCGAAGGAACAAGGATCCCCTCTCCCCTCCCTGAAACAAAAGGATGCGTAGAGATCGCCACTAGTGGATCGGACTATTGGCAAGACTAGGAGCAGCATCACCAAAACAATATGTGTGTACATTAGAGTATAATGCATCGTTGTAGAAAATTTGAAAGAAATCTGTCAAGAAATATGACATGCAGAGCGCACACTAGACACCCACCAAAATATTACCTTTTGACCCTACAAAACACGGGACACTGGTGGCAGTTAGACCACATGCTAGAGTGCACATAAGACATCTATCAAAATATGACCTTTGACCTTAGAAAAGACAGAACACTGGAGGCAGCATCAGGCGCGGATCCAGGATTTTTTAGGGGTGGGGGCCCAAATTCCAAATCAATTTGAAATTTATTGTGCTGAAATATGAAAATCGTGTCGGACGAAAATTCGCTCAGTGGGGGTGGGGGGGGGGGGTGTAGTGAGCACTAATTTTTGTTGGCCCTCGAAAATTTGAAAAAATGCACCCCCCCCCCCCCTTCCTTGACCGGCAGAGGGGGGGGGGGCATCTCCAAAAAAAGGTAAAATTAACGTTAAAAAATGTAAATATATACATTTTTTCCCAGGGGAGGCCCAGTCTACATACATACATACATATTGATATTTATATAGCGCCTTTATATAAACATGCTCAAAGTGCTTTACATTAGTAAATAAAAACAGAATAATTATTTTGCTCTCCAAGTGTATTACACTGTAAAATAACAATTACAATGAATACAACTCAACGCAAAGCGTAGCATCCCCTCGCAGGGTACAAATGGCCTATATACAATACGTCAGAACAAGTTACCTCCATTGGACTATACAATTATACTACTAGGCAAGGAAGTTAACCACATATTCACATATATAATTAGGTGTTTTTGCATATTTAATGAGCTACGACCTTTCATCTTTGATCAACATACTCAGAAATCGAAATTGGGCTGTACATGTACTTTGATACCATGTACCTTCATATCAAATTTCATTAAAATGTGTCAAACATTACTCAATTTATCGAATGGAAACCAGATTTGCATATCTAATGAGCTATGACCTTTGACCTACATACTCCGAAATCGAACTTAGCCTGTGTTTTGATACCTTGAACCTTCATATCAAATTTCATTAAAATCCGTCAAACATTACTGAAGTTATCGATCGGAAACCAAATTTGTTACGGACGCACGGCAGCGTTAATATATCCCCTCCGACTTCGTCGGCGAGGGGGAAAAATTGAGTTTTGAGACTTCTCCCTTTGATCCTCCTCTTCTGCCAGATCCCTCCGTTCATCTTTCTCCATGCAACTAATTCACGGCCCACAAACAAAAACACGTTATGGTGACCGTGCCTTTTCACCAATCGTCCCCGCCCTCTGGAAAAAACTCCCACCCCATATTCAAAATGCCCCATCCATTGAATCATTCAAAACCCTTCTCAAAACCCACCTCTCGCAGGCTGCGATCTCCCATGAAATGTGACGCTCTATCGCTTACCGTTGCTCACGACCTGACACGAAAGACTCACGAGCAGATACAAGTTGATAATAATAATAATAATAATAATAATAACTAGAAATGCAATCGTGTCACAACGATATGCGTGCAATGACGCCATGTTCGCAGCACATCTCAACAGAGCATAGTGTTTGTCTGAACCAAAGTTGATCAAGATCACCACGATTTGGAAGCACGATTAGATGCGATATGACGCGATGATGACGTTTGGAAATTAATCGTGTTGATCGTAGACATTTTTTTAACCGTTCAAAACTTTCGTATGATCAACACAATTGCCACGACTGACCTCGAGATCTGATAATGACAGTATCACCACGATTACTCCATGAAGACCAAGATTGCAATCTTTCCGCGAATCGTTATAGCATGGACCTATTACGGATGGACATTCAACGTGATTCTTTCTTTGATCCAATGATAGTCACCGCCTTCTGATTATGTGCATCTTAATGAGAACATTCAGCTGTTTTAACGACTGCGTAAGCATTTTCGGTCATTGACAAAGGAGCAGTTTCCCTCTCTTGGGTTTTGTTTGGATAGTGTGCTCTGTAAGAGTGTGTCTTAAATAAAAGCATCCCCAATGGGGAGCAGCAAAGTTGAAAAGCAGACGATTTTGGTGATATGAAATGTATTATTACGGATACGCAAACTTTCGCACACACCTATGACCTTATAAAACAATTAGGAGGCCATGATCTGTATCAGCCCTGTGCGTTGTAACTCTGAAATATTATGAGGAAATAGGGGGAAACGGAATTTTAAATCACAACCCCAAAATCCAAAAATATCCTCTATCTGGTAATATAAACATGTTTTTCAAAATAAAATGCATGTACAGTACATGGAACAACAATTTCCGATTATAAGTCAGAACCGCACATCGATTTTCCATGATTTAGGCGAGTTTTTATCTTCTGCGCATGTAG